ACTATACTTACTAATATTACAAAAATTATACTTACTAATAAACAGTTCTTCTTAATACTATGAACGAGGATAGTATGAGCAAAACAGAGAGAATAATATTGACCCGACTGCGAATAGGCCACACTAGACTGACGCATGGTCATCTCTTGGCGAGGAAAAGTCCACGGAGATGCCCATTGTGCGGCGCACAAATAACTGTTAAACATTTACTAACCGAATGCGAACTACTGGCGCCGCACAGAACAAAGTGTGGCCTTTCCTCGAGCTTGAAAGAGGTTTTGCAACACAGCAATGACAACAGCAAGAAAGTAATCAAATATCTGAAGCAAATAAATGCATATGGTCGCCTTTACTGCTTCTCCACACGTGGTTTCATTTCCCCTTCCTGAAGTGAGTGTATTTATTGGCGAGAATGTGTGAGTGTATGGGTGGGTAGTGGTCGGAATATCGAGTACCCCACAGACCCACCAAACTAGGATAGATATCTCTTTGTGTGTTTTGGTAGAATGAATGTATTTATTGGCGCGAAAGTGAGTGTGTATGGGTGGGTTGTGCAGGAATATCGAATACTCCACAGACCCACCGATTTAGGTTAGCATTAAGCTATAATATCTTTTAGAGTGAATGGGCGGAGGCACTGTTGTAATATTAAATGCGCCAGTGGCTCCGCATTTTTTAATTTGTAAATACAGAATGATTGGTTACTGTTTGAGTGAATGTATTTATTAGTGCGATAGTAGTGTATGCATGGGTGGGTCTATGGTGGAATATCAAGTACCCCATAAACCCACCACCTAGGTTAACGTTTTAGATTAATTGTAATTTTAATTGTACATAATGTATGGATGTATTTATTAGCGTGAACGAGGGCGGGTCTTCAGAGGAATATCGAGTACTCTGAAACCCGCCTATAGGCTAGGCTAGGATTGAATATTAGTGAATGAGATAGTTTCAGAGCCTTTTCACCACGTGTGGGAGGGCTAAAAATGTAGAAATAACGTCCCAGAACACAACCAGAAAAATCGCCAGACTTCCTACAAAAAAGCTAATTTAAAAAAAAAATTAAATTAAATTAAAAAATAAATAAATTTATAAAACGTGAGGTGGAAGAAATGTGAGGTGCCGGCAATAGTCCAGGCAGCTAGCCGGCCGGGGAAAAAAAAAAACTATGAACGAGTTTATTGAAAGATCAGCGGTAAGCAACTTATAATCCATCCTATTGCTCAATATGTTATTAAACATTTTGATCCAAAGATATTTCGAGGACCTAAATTATTCCAACCACACCAATTAACAACACAAACATAAAACGAAAGTGTGTTGAATGTAATCGAATTTTAAATGTTGGTTATTTCAATGCATGCCGAGTATTTATCAATCTATTAAACTTCATTTAATGATTCTACGAGAATTGAGTTAATCCGCTCTTAATTATTAAAATTTAATTATCGGTGTAAAAACCATCCGAATCTAGCTTTCTCATTACTGGTTTAAAATTAAATCTTGATGTAATACTGCTATATATGTGGAATTTATTTATTTCCGATCATTTTGTTCAAAATTTTGAAAGCCTTACATACTACTGACAATGGAAATCAGTTCAAAAACGTCTGACAGATCAAAACAGCGAGGATGGGCGGACCAAAATGATCCAACTAGGTTCATAACCACACAGACCTTAAATAAAAAAATCTCTTCCTAATCCTTGAGCACAGTGGGAATATCTGGGGCCCCTTGTTTTGATTTTTGTAGGAAACAGGATTGTCCCAGCGTGTGTCGAGATTGTAAGTATTTTTTGGCGTGAATGTGTAGTGTGAAAGGGTTGATCGCGGGTTATTGGGTCAATTAGGTCAGTTTTATATTAGGTGTAAAGGGTGGTGGAGATTATAGAGCACTCCGTCATCGATTGAGTAAATGGTATGTAAATAGGAAAGAATGTATTTACGAATCAATGAGAGTGTAAATGGGGGAATCTAAGAACTGCATTGGGTGCTGAATTGACCTAGTGTTGGTACCACCCCAAGCCCAACCTCGCTGGTTCGACAGATATGACCGAGGTCTGACCCCGGACTGCCAAGGTGGGTTCTCGAGGCTTGCTGTTAATTTATTGAAAATTACATAAGCTGGAATTCGATAGTTGGTTAGGGGCAGTTAGGGAAAATAAACATAATAAAACAAATATATGTATAAGGTGTAAATAACTACAATGAAAATGGGATAAAGTTATCAGCAAAAAATGGTTTCTAAGATAAAAACATTAATACCAATAGTTGGTTTATAAAAAAAATTAATATAATTTAATTTATTTTTTATTTTGAAATATAATTTTTTTAATTTTCAATAAAAAATAACACTAACAAAATAAAATCAATGAAAAATTTCAGTGTAAATACTATGAATATGTTATATTGACAATCGTACATTAGCAAAGTAAATATTTTAAAAAATAGGCACCAAGCATTATCATTACTTGTTGCTTTAAGTTTAGCAGAAAAATGTAATTTTAAACGAACTTTTTTGATTTTAAACGAAAATAAAGCAAATGCAGTACTCCATGTATATTAGATATAATAAAAAATCTTTAGCATTCGTTCTCATAAAAAATTAATTCTAAGACCTCAGCGTGTGTTCGACAGCATAAAAGGTTTTAAAAAATAATCTCCATTCTTTGGTGCAATTAGGTTTAATTGCGTCTGATATTAGTGTTTACAGGGTTTCATTCTTCCGCTTCTCTTCGCCTTCAGTCGGCGAGATTGCTGGCCATTGTTTGTTATAGGCATCCAACGTAGGATAATAAAACTTGCAGCTCCGGCGCCCCAACTTCTTCCATTCGCTCCCAACTCTCTTAAAAAACCGTCTTGGTCTCAAGCTCAAGTTTCCCTGCTTAAACTTTAATTAAATATGTAGAAGTCATTTAATTAAAGGGCTCGCGCTTGGATCAAAGGAGACGGCCCTCCTGTCATTTTCTTCATAGTTTTGCAGCAGCGATTAATTACTATGAACATAATTTTTATCAGAAGTTTAAAACAAAAGAATTTTTTATAAGAATGATAACGCATTTTGCATTATTTGACTACACTTTTAATTGCATAAAAGGTTAATTAATATTTTTTTAACAATTGGTTTGATTTAGTCAAATACACCTTAACAAGTTCACGTTAATTTATCAGAAGAATGTTTTTTCAGTCAAAAACAAAATATAATGAGAGAGGGAACAAATTGGCATCATTTGCATGTGTGTCAGAATTCCCTTTATCTCTCTGACAGAATAAATGCAACGTCGACGTTTTCTCATCAACATAAAATTTTATCAAAAGGTAAATTATTAACAAGAAATAAAAACATTTATAAAAGCCAGAAAAGTGTAAAAAAAGTTAGATAAATAATTTCTTAATAACTTTCTCTTTTGTTCTCTAGTTAAGATAGGTTAGATAATACGGACGGAGAATATTTTGTTATTAGAATAAGAAAATGTCACTTTTTTCAGTATGAAAACAGATCTGATTAACCAATGATTTTAAATCTCGAGTTTGTATTCTTACCCTTCATATGCAACATATATTAGCCTGTCAATTACCAGAAATAAATAATCTGCAGATTAGACGTTTTATACTTGATTCTGTTGCAAATGGAAAAAAGGAAAAAAAGGCAGGCAATTTTATGGAAGGTCGCGACTTGATCTTAGTCGAGGATTCCATAACAGTGATATATTGAAAATGTGTTATCATAAGAAGGCTCAATAATCGACGACGGTTTTATTTTTATGGAAAAAAATATATACTTGGAACTTCGATTCAATGTTTCGAGTGGCCAGCATGTTGTCCCGACATAAACCATATAGAACACCTTTCAGAGGGTAAAAAGTCGCCCAGAGATGCCAGAGAATTTGCGAGAATTGCAAATGGCGCTGTTCGAGGAGTACGAAAATATTCCACAGCACTACATTCAAAACCTCATCAAATCGATTTACATAGAATGCAAGCGTTCATCAACGCTAGAAGAAAAAATACTCCGTACTGGATTGAATATTTTCTTCATTGTTTCTACAGAAACATGTTTGGTAAAGTTGTTTTACCCCGTTTAATTGTTTTAGTTAGTTATATCTTCTATTTTTCTTTTAAAATATCCAATAAACAACAAAAAATAAAAATTATAACTTACAAGTATACTCAAAAAACAAAAAATCGAGGATAGCAACTTTTTGCTGCATAGAGTACTATTTTTTATTATTTAAATAGATCACAATAGCGAGAAAGAATTTGACTCAAATACAGTCCATGGTTTTGCAAATAAGGCTACTTTTTACTTACAGATTCACTACTTAGTTTTAAATAAATAATATTATTGTGATAGTTTCTTTTGAGGTCTTTAGTGTGATGAACCTTTAGTTTTAAGGTTTAATTAACCTTAAGTTTTAATTATATAATATAATAATATATTTTTTTTTTTTTGGNGCAAGTTCTTTATAACACATCCATATATAATGTAATCTATATATATATATATATAATTGTATCGATTGCAAGTATTTACTAAAAAAAGGAGTGTGGCAAAGGTTTTTTGTCTTTCAGTGTATTTAATCAATTTAATGAACAGTTGCAGAGCATACATGATAGAATAAATCTTTCAAATCAATAAAAAATATTTAATAAACACAATCTTTTGATGGAAGAAGGGGAGTTACAGAGTTATGAACAGAGGACATAAAATTGGGATTGTTGTATCTTTGCCAAAAAGAACATTTGGTTGATGCGATTTCTTCTTTTGAGATTACAGACATTCTCAAAATATACATATTTATTTATACTATTTATTTAAAATTCTTGATATGTTGTGCTTTTTGTAAATTCTGAGATATAAATGTGAACATGTTTACTTGTCATCAGTTCGTTTAAGATAAAATGATACATTCAGTTGTTAATGTTCTAAACTAATTGTTTTTTAACTCTAGTGTGAAATAAATGACAAGGTCGTTAAATAATTTACATCTTTTTTTTCAGGTTGTGCGTTTGTCAAATTCAGTTCTCACATAGAAGCGCAAGCGGCGATCAACAGCTTGCACGGGAGCCAGACGATGCCAGTAAGTAATTCAGTGCACATGTTTCCCTTTTGATATTGGCTCGTTCCGCAATCAAACTTTTTACGAGGAAATCCTTCTTTTAGCGCGCACAACCCAATTTTTTCCCCGATATAAAGCCGGACTTGTGTAACGGGACAGTTTCAGCTCATCCTCCCGTCATAAACTGAGTAACGTACCCCGAACTTTATTAATAACCTCCGTTTCTCCAGCCCTAAAATTTTTTTTATTGGGAACGAAATTGTCCCTGCCTTGCAAAGTTCAAATAATCAAGGTCGGAACAGTTTTAAAGGGAGATAACATTGAACAACGCGACGATGGAGCGGTGGTGGAGCGTTTTATTATAACAACTCTTTAAATTTTAAATTCGCACAGAAACGGAAAGTTTAACTTTTTTCTCTTTTGCTTTTTATCAACGTTAAGTCTATGCGTAGGAGAGTTTATGTGAAAAATGAGACAACAAACTTTTAGTACAAAAACTAACGCAGTGTTAAAACCTACTTGCTAAATGTAAATGTCTTTTAGCGTTTGTCCTTACTAATTTTCCCAAACAAGATTTGTTTATAATCTGTATAATCTATATTCTCTAACAAAAGATGAAAACATCACCAATTAATATTTTATAATCCAACGTAGGTGACATAAAGGGGTTAACTCTCTAGCAAAATAGCACCTTATTCTCATTTTAGCTAGTCATAAATATTTTTAAAAACTGCAATTAAAATAAATTTATAATATATAATCCTACAAGAACCTTATTTTCAGTACGGACTAGTACAGGTTCATTGTAGTTACGAAAGGTAAATGCAAATCTGTAAAGATCCATATCTACTGTCATTGATATATTTAATATTTTATGCGCCGGCAAATAGCTGAGGTCATCGCCGGCTCTCTGCGTGTTTTCCATTTTTTCCTGGTAATTGATTCTCTGCTTTTATATGAAACTAAGTCGATATCCTAAAATCCTAGCCTCTCGTTTGTACCTCAGGTTATCAACAACAGAATAGACACAAAATATAAAATATGCGTGATCAGCCCATATAAACATAGAAATCTAATCACATTCACTCCCCCAGAGTACTCGATATTCCTCGGGGCACGGTTAGGCAACCCCTTCATTTCTCGCTAATAAATTACATTCACTAGTTTTCGTGGACCGCTTGACCAATTCATATCTTTCGATTAATTAAGGTTTTTATTGAGATAAAAAGTCAGTGTCACAAGCGGGATTCGAACCCACGACCTTAGGCTAGTTACGTCGCTGCTCTACCACTTGAGCTATCGTGACCTCGATCCACTCGGACACTAACTTCTCATCTCAACCCACCTTTTGAGCTTTCCCTCCTTTTTGCCATTTTTCAAATGTCATGTAATCTATTTGATTCTCGGCGACAAATGAAATGGCCACGGAGAGCTTTAGTGAAGATATACTTCATTTTTACTTATTAAATCCACTAGTTTTCGTGATCCACTTGACCAATTAATATCTTTCAATTAATTAAGGTTTTTAGTTGAGATAAAAAAAGTCAGTGTCACGAATTTAAAAATGAAGTATACCTTCACTAAAGGTCTCCGCAAAAAGAGGGAAAATTTAAACGGTCGTAGATTGAGAAGGAGAGTTGCTGTCCGACAGGATCGAAGTCAAGCCGAAGATCGTGGGTTCGAATCCCGCTCGTGATACTGACTTTTTTATCTCAACTAAAAACCTTAATTAATTGAAAGTTAATAAATTACATTCTTTCCAATAAATTTACATAAATAGAACGCCCGACACAAAAATAAAAGTCTGTTCACATTCACTCCTCCAGATTAATCGATATTCCTCAGGTCGGGGTTAAACAACCCTTTGATTTCACGCTAATAACTTACTTTTACTTCGGACGTCACACGCTCACCCCAGACTTCTCGATATTCCTCGAGGCGGGATTATTAAGCAACTTCTTCATTTCACGCTAATAAATTATGTACATTCTAATAAATTTATATAAACTCAACACCCGAAACAAACTCTTCCTTTCAGGCTATTAAATTATATTCATTTCAATAAATTAAAATAATTGTAACAAAACAAACATTATATAAATTTAAAAATTGTGCCCGCTGTCGTGCCCGAAAATTATGCACAGGTCTGATGATATGCCAAAATATTGTTTAAATATGTCAAGCCTTTCACAATTAAAAAGGTACTGGACCGTTATTTTTTCCTTGCATATCGGGCACCTACGCTTTCCTGCTATATGGTGCCCGTGTGTTATTCTAGTAGTGTCATTGATTTCATTAAGTAAGGGTCCTGTTTACCTAGCTTGTTTTTTCTTTTTAATTCTAAAACGATGTTTTCTCGTATATCATACTTTTATGGAGAAAGAAATATGTCTAGGAAAATGCTATAATATTCTGCCAGTATTGGAGTTTTGTGACCACTTTTGGAAGTCTGCGATTCTCATTAATGCCCATTTATAGTAGTTGAAAACTTCTGGAAACTAGTTAGAGTGGCCTTCTACGCCAAAATAACATCTGCGGTCCAAACGCCCAAATCTGCAATGTAATCAGACGTCACAACTTGATATAAACGATATTTACTTCAGTCCTTACCGAAGTTTTGACAAACAAGTCCGTGATTTACGATCGCGGTCGTCCCATTTAAAATCGTCAAACAAAAAAAATGTTTTTGGATCGTCCCGCTCCTTGTCTTCGGGCGACTTGGTTCATATAATTTATTAAATACTCTCGGCAAATTTACAAACTTTGAGGCGATATATTTTGAGAAGTTTCATCATTTTGCGCCTGCGGTCTGCTCGCTTTACGACCCCAGTTTCAGCGAGGATCGACGTTAATCCGACAGTGATATTTAAGTCTAGTGCAGGGCTGGAACGGGCATAAAAGACACCGGGCGGTACAGAGTAAGAGGGTAGCTATTTGTTTATACGGTCTCCAATAAAATCGGGGCTCTATTGAATGCCGGCTCTTTGCCCCCCCCCCCGCACAATGAGATAAAATGCTTATGGGCGAAAGAAGAAAGGAAGCGTGCCATATGGGAGAGACCATCACCCGAGCCCGCACCCCCTGCGAAAACCCTTTCCACCTTTGCACTCGGCTGTAACTGAAGCCGTGGTGTATAAACTTTAGTGGGACGCCCGGCCGTTCCGGGAGGCTGAGTCTCTTAAATATTTAATTGATGAGGACGTGGAGACGTTCAAAATCACTCTCGACTCGTGGCCTTCTAACCTTGTCAGCAATTGTTAATTCCCTTTGAAAAATTAGCTTCTTTTCATCATTATTAAATAGAGTACAGTTGGTCTATGTAAAAAAGTAATTTTCGGAAGAACTTTCGGTGGTACATCATCACACATGAAAGCTCTGCTCAAAAATTAAAAAATTATCGATTTTCTTTTCGAACATAAAAATATCCAATTTTAATGCTGGTTATTTTGATAACTTGGAATGGTCGCAGTAGAAAATGTTCAAATTAACACTTTTTTGAGAAATTTTAGCACCCGGCAGGGGTAGTGGTTTGGGCACACTCTTCCTACACTCCGAAACTCAGAATCATTTCTAAAGGTTGTATTGTATTTTTGCCCTAGTTTGCTTTCTTTCTTAACACTTCCAAATCATGTAGTCATTTTGAAATAAAAACAATAATCTTGACCGCTCCTCACGACTTCAACAAATTATGAAACAACAGGTCACTAACAAACATACATTTATCATAATAACAAATTACGTAACTATGTAATATAAATATATAATATAAACTATCTATATATAAATAATAGAAAAGCTTTTGATCTAAACTATCAACGCTAAAGTATCTCGTATAAAAAAAACTCAAACCGCGGTTGAAGAAAGTCAGTCACATACACACAAAAAAACTTGAACAAAATCTTTTTTCTAATTCAACCTACAAAATGAAGTTGGAGGTTTCCTACCTCCTTGGATTTACAATAAATAATTATAAAAACATCGATATATCATTAAAAATTCGTCACAATAAGTCATTTTCAGAAAATCGGCTTTCCTAAAAAGTTAGTTTTTTCTTTTAATTTATTGCTCTGGTGAACTTCAAAGTTTTATACACTACTATTCTTCTATTAGTAAACATTCCTTAGTTTTATCTATCTGGAATGATAAACACTTTTTTGAGTAAAAAAAATATTGAAACTCCTAGAAACGAGAGAATTTGATAGTACTTTTTATTGTCCGTATTTATTTTCTAAGTCAGTCTAAACAGGGATAAAACGTAACTTTACCTCAATCCTTCTACTTTAAAACGAAAAAGTCAAAATTAAAATATTTTGAGCGGTTTTATCATAAAAGGTACAAACATTGCGGAACTATGGAGGAGAGGTTATCATCATCTAAAAAATTCACCGTTGTTTCAATTCGCTATCGATTTTCCAGAAATTGGACTCAGTCGAAACTAAAATCGATCCTGAACTAATTTAAATTAGTTTGAATAGTCTAGGATAAATACCTTGATGATAGAATCAAATTTGTCCGAAATCCAATGTGGCGGAGGAGCCAATACACGACAGTATGTGTACTATCGTGTATCAATAGTAGATATGTTTCCTGAAACATAAAAACAACTTTTCCAACAAACAGAAATATAGTCCTGTCAACCGTCCGGCGAACTTAGCAAAGAAGGAGGAAATAAATACGATGATTCTGTTTGTCTTAGATTGAGCAATTGTTATCTTAAAAACTTAATCCAAAAATTGATCAGGGCATGAATAATTTATAAATTCGATTTATTGCGAGTTCAGGCTTCGAGCGTAATTTTTACCTTGAATTAAACAAAATCTTGTTTGTATTACGACTTAACGTCTAATACACATATTGATCAAATAAATATTTATTTAATTGCTGAAGACATTAATTTTTAAATTAATTACGAAAATTCTCTTCTTTTTTATAATATAGAGAAAGATACGATTCTTTACGTTTTCGTACTGGACTTACTTTGAAGTTCATTCCTTAGTTTTTCTCGCACAACCTAAATACTT